CGCTCTCCTATTGGCTCCCGAACAACAACGTGTTACCGTTAACAATTTATCCAATAACCATTAACTGTTATTGACAAATGTAGAACAGACAAAATACACAGCAGTAAAACGATAAAGTACAGCATCAATAATATACGTATTAAAAAATCAAACTATATCAGGATATACTTTTTGTGCTTTGCTGTTAGAATTGAATGAAATGTAGCACAATTTAAAAATAAATAAATAAAAATGATAATAAAAAAGTGCAATATCCCAAAAAAAACAGCAATATAATAATTAATAATGCTGTGTACACATTGTGTTCTCCAGCTGTAAGAAAATGTGTTTATTTGGGACGGCCCCCAACAACAACAACGTTATCATGATTTTAATGTTTTCAGTGAAAATTAACTTGTAATGCAATAAACAGGAAACTGGAATAATAATAAAAACATTGTATATGTACTAAATTATAATATCTAATAACAATATATAAAACAGAATAAAGTCTGAAGTCTGTACATTATATATACATCATACAATATATGACAATATATAAATATATATATATATATATATATATTTTATGGTATGTGACATTATATGACAGAAGTGTAATGAATAAATAGTAATAATAATAGTGCTGATAATAGTGTGTGCTAAATCCTTAAATACAGTATTAGTTGCAGATTAACCAGAGTGATGCACATTAATCATGTAAAGTGCATATAAGGAGAAATATGTATTTGTATGTAGGAACTAAAGATAAATAGATAAATAAATGACCTGTAATATGAGCTGTAAAGACGCCGTACGATGTGTTTGTACTGTTCTTCCTCCTCTGGCTGTGAGACATTGCTGTTCTGTTCCTCTGCAGCTGTTCTCAGGTGTTGGTGTTGTGTTGACCTCACCCTGAACCTGAATGAAGCCAACAGGAGCGTATCACGTCCTCACGCTGCTCCAGAGGCTGCTGTTAATTCATCCGAGAAATAAACTACCAGGAACTTCATGGGCGTGTAGAAATGATCACAAATTTACTGATTATCTGCAGCTCCTCTCAACAGAAACATGTGGAATGCTGCAACTTTAAGTTCAGTAAATGTCTAAAGTAAACCTCAGACATTTCTCTCAGATTACAACACGTACACACAGGCGCTGCCAAGGAGTCGTTCTCTGCTTCTCTCTGGCAGCGGATCAGAAAGGAAACTGAGGTCTGGTTACTGGTTAACCCAGACGATGAAGCTCTTCTCACGTACGCACCACAAGCTGCTGACTGGAGTTTGAACAGCCGCAAACACACACAGACACACACAGCATCCATACGTGCAGCCAGAGGAGCAGTGGCTTCCAACCTTTCTCTTACAGATCAGAGTTAACTTTACTGGCTGATGTTCACACTTACTGCTGTCACTTTAAAGAGCTCCTCCACCCTAAAACCTGTTTCCTGAGCTGTAAACTCAATTATGTGACTGTGATCAGACACATCAGTGCTGCTGTCAATATTCACATTATTATCACATTTATTTAAAAAAAATCTGCATGTTGTGGGTTAAAAATGCCTCAACTCGCCCTCTAATGTTGTTCTATAGAAACACTGTTAATGCTCTCTAATTGGCCCACCACCCCACACACAGCCGCTAGGTGTGGAGGCCACGGCCCCCGGCACTCACTGAGCGAAGGGTGGAGTTACACTTCAGTGATGTTTATGAACCTTATAAAGATGTTAGAGGAGTTGATTCCGGACTCAGATCCTAAAGTGTCTGATTCTAAGGTAGCTTTTCTAATAAATATTGTTTTTTGGCGTCTTTTCCCATGAAATTGTGGGAGAAAAAAGTCATTAAAAACAACTTCTTCAAATAAGAATGAAATAGTTTGGTGACGTATGGGGGACTGGGATTGGTCCAATTTAGCTCAAACGTTGCACTGGTTGGACACAATAGCGAGGTCTTGCAGAATTCCCAGTTATTGGTTGAATTTGGTTGAAACGGTTGCGACTGAAACCTCGAGACTTCCTGGAGGTTCAGTTCCTTTTTCTCTGTCTGTGAAATCAACATTTGGGTTGGCTCTAGTTTGTATTGTTGACTTTGGAGCAGCTTCATGTGCACACCTGTCAACTTTTCACTTTGTTTTTCTTGGGAAACGCAGCTTCTTCCCCTTGGAAGGAAACTTGTCAGTGCTTATTAAAGCCTTAAAGGATCATTTAAAAAATACATATATAATATATAGCAAAAGCTCAGCAGAGCTAAAGGAAACTGCAGTGTGCTCATTATTAGGTTTGTCTCTGAGGGAATTTTTTTAGATGTTTTCACAGAAAACAAAAAAAGCTCCTGAGGGAAAACACTTTTTTTTAAAAGCCGATTTTCACAGATAACAAAATGTATTTTTCCATCAGGAGTATATTTTATTAATTTTTTTAATGTGTGTTCACAGATAAAAAAAAAAAATAAAATCTTAGAATAAATGCTCCTGAGGGAAAACAAATGTTCACAGATTAAAAAGAAGAAGAAACTTGTCGTTGATGGAAAACATTTTTTAACCCGTTCACACAGATAAAATCTCTAATCTCTGTATGTTTGTCTCTGTGAGCACTTACACAATCCAAATATGAATTTTCCCATTGTTAATGTAAAAGCATTGACTGGTGCAGCTCTAACCGAGTTGAACCATGAAGTCAGTGAACTGGCGTCCGTCCAAGCTGACCTCATGGAACAGAAACCAGCTGAACTTACTGAAATAGTGTTGCCCCTGCAGCTCTATGTGACCTCTGCTGTGTGACCTCTGCTGCCTCTGAGCAGAGGGAAACTCGCTGTTTACACTGGAAGCAGTTTACAGCAGATCCTGATTGATTGGGTCGGCAGGGTGTCACTGCGCTGATTAACGCCCGGCCCTGTGGCAGAGCTGGCACAGCTTCTCTCGTCTGGCAGCAGGAAGCCGGCTGCTGCTGTGTGGAGCCTCACGTATGCACACATTCCTCAGAAATGAAGCTCCGGGGAGCGAGCGGTGGTGGCGGGGCGCGATGTGACACGTCTGCCCCTTCCGCATCGATGTAATGACTGATATACACCTGCCTTATTAAGTACGGTGTTATCAGATACAGGGTTGTTTGTTTTCCAGATGTCCTTGAACACAACAGGCAGGGTCAGTGACTGATACTGACTCACAATAAACACTCAGGACAATAATATTCACAGGAATAACTACCAGCTGTAGCTGAGGATTATTTTATCTTTATTATTATTATTATTATTATTTTAATATTCTGTCTAAAAGCCAAAAATATTCACTTCACTCTCATTGAAATGCAGCAAACACTCCGATTTGAGGAGCTGAAATCAAAGAATATTTTAGTTTTATATTAAACGTATTAAAGGACAACAAATTGATTATCAGTTACTGTTGTTTTTCTTCAATTTTCTGTCGACTTACTGTAATAAATGTTTCCTCCTTAAGGTCCACTTGTTCCGGACCTTTAAGTCACATCTCTCGGTGTTCTTCGGCTCAGAAAGCCCAGTAAATGTGGTCGAAAGCTCTGGAAGCAGCCAGTTCTGTTTTGTTTAACTACTCTTTTGGGACCTTGACTCAACCAACAGTCCAAAGATATTTAGTTTACTGATTAACGTAATCAGAAAATCTGTTATTATTGACTAAACATCAATTGTCAGAATTATTGGCAATTCATTTTCTGAAGATTGACTCATCAGTTAATTTCATTAAATCTGTGCCTTTGCATGTTTTCAAAGTTGAATTTAATCTTTTTTCAGCACTGTATCTACAATGATATTTAAAAAATAATAATTCATTTTTCTGTGCAGTTTACAGTCTGTAATATAAAAAAACAATTTTATTCCGTATAAATTCCTTTAAAATGTTGTATAAATAAAGGTTTTGCCATCAGATATCACAGAGTTTTACTGTTACAGAAACTATTTACAGTTTACATTCTTTTACTGTCATTGTTTGACAGTTTTTAACTTTAAAAAACATTTTTTATAGTAACAACACACTTTAATTATTTTAAAAGTGTAATCATTCAATCTTTATTTATTTATTACGAGGTTTCTAAGTGGAAGATTTGCATTTTTCCTAACAGGACTCAGATTTCAGTATCTTTTTAACAAACTGCCAACTAATATATACTAATGTTATATTTTAATAGGTTATATTGTACATTGAACAACTGCAAGGACATAAGAGTTTGATCTGTATTTTTATGATAAATATGAAATATATTCATCATAATCTATTTATTAAAGATAATTAATGTGTTAAATGTCATTAACTCATTAATATATAGACTCTTGGTCATTGGCTCTTTCTTACAGCAGTAATTTACTTCCTCGGTGTGCGCGAGGCTGCAGTCGGCATTAAAACCGGTTCATTTAACGTCCGGAGAGACGGCCGATTATTACCGACGGATTATTACCGGAGCCTGCAGCGGACAGGAAGCCCGACAGGTAAACAGCGGGAGAAGTTTTAGGAC